GCGGGCCTCGGGCACAGGGCGCCGCGGAGCAGACAAAGGACGCGCCCCTCGCGGCAGACGCCGAGCCAAGTAGTCTGCTCCACTGGGCGACGAACGCGACCCGGGGCGGGGAAACCTCTCTCGAGTGCTTCCCCGCCTTCTTGAACAATGGGGTGCCGGCTCTGTACCTGGGCGCGGGCGGGGACTGGGCTGGAACCCCCGTGTTGGGCGAGGGCGGTGGCAGCGAGGATATAGAGGTCAGCATTGCCTCTTTTGCCTGAGAGTCCCTAACCTCGGCCCTGCGATGTCTTTGCGGCCATTCCCATTTCTGCGATGGGGAAACTGAGCGTTGCTGAGGGCTCCACCGAACCTGGACTCACGTCCTGATCAGGCACCTGCTGTGGGCCAGGCGCTGTGCCAGGCAGGAGGGAGGGTCCTAGAGACCCGTCAGGAGCCGAACGTGCAACCTTCCAGCGGAGGGAAGACAAGGATCACATGCACTTTACCCTAAACCCCAGAGAGAATGGGATTAGCAAGGACTGAACCTTAGCTTCTTGTTTCCTAGTGAGTGATTATGTAGCCTGAAAGCAGTTTTCTCACCTCTAAAATGGAGATGATAAGACGCCTGTCACTCACCCTCCTTTTCTCAGAGATGTAAGAACTAAGTAATGTACTGGAAGGGCTTACCCTGGCGCCTGGCACACAGTAAAACCCCTCTTAATGCTGACTACTCTCGGCGTTCTGTTAGGACAAGTCCCACGCTACAGCCCTGCTGTGTCCCCAAGAGCCGCCTGCCTATTGCAGGGACTGGGGTGGGTCTGATAGCAGAGCTTGGCTCTGGGTGACACTAAACCCTGTATAAAGCTGGAATTGAGGCGCGCAGCCTCATAGCATCTGCCCAGGATCCAGAGCTTGCTCAAGTGCTGCTTGCAGCCTCGGTTTGGTAAGCTTCTAGGGCGAACCAGGCAGGGCGGGTTTGTCATCTGACAGGGCTTAAACCCAGCCCCAAAACCAACCCATTCCTGGCCTCCCCTACGTGAGGCTTGCTTTTGTGCATGGTTTCCCATTAGTCACTGGCCTCCAACCAGAACAACAGACTGAGACTGTCAACCTGTGTATATGTTAATTTTAAAAAGCACTACTGTGTGAGTAGTGAGTGGGGAGAGCATATATGTGCTTGTATATGAAAGCATAAATACCTTTGTGAGTCTGTGTATGAATATTGTATGTATCTGTGTGAACTTATGAGTAGGGGAGATAGTATCTATTTTTGTGTTATGTGTTTTAAGTATCAGCATGTGCACTGGTATGTGTTTTATGTATATTTTTATGGGGTTTTTATTTGTTTGCATTTGTGAGTACCTATGGGTGTTTCGGGGTAGGTCTATCTATGTATGGGGGAGGGCAAAATGAGAGGAGAGTGTGGGTGTCCTGGTTTCAGACCAATATGTAGCAATCAAGATTCTGCTTTTATTCAAGCACAAATCAAGATTCTGCTTTTTAATCAAGCACAAATCAAGATTCTGCTTTTATTCTCTTGGGCAAGGGGGTGGACAGGTCATGCCCCATCCCTATATTCTCCTATTGATTCTTCCTAGCCCTCACAACTCAACCAGAATACCATATTCTCTAAAAGACTTTCCTGGATCTCTGAATGGGAATTAATCTCTCCCTCCCATTTTCCAACTGCCCTTTGTTTATTCACTGATTATAGCCTTGATCTGTCAATCAGTCTCTCCCCTGCCTCTTCCTAAAAGGATTAAGGATAGCTTTCAGAAATATATACAGTAGGACAAATTGAACTGCCCCCCACAGCTTTATTAGTTCTCACAGGCAAGCATCAGCTATGACACTATGACTTCCAACTTCTGTGTCTGTCTCTCCCATTAGGCTGTTCTCTGTTCACAGTGCCGAGCACGGGTAGTATGTGAGTGCTCATCCATGCTGGATAAACTGAATTAAAATGAAGAGATCCTGTGGTGCCATGGGAAGAGCTCATATCTTTAGACTCAGACAGCTCTGGGTCACAACTCTGCCAGCTCTGTAACCTTGGAGGAAACATTTTACCTCTCTGAGCCTCACTTTCCTCATCTATAAAATGGGGCCAATAAATTCTGTCTCAGTCAAGCTGAGGAAGGGAATGCTTTAACAGAGCCTGGCACACAGAAGGTGCTCAATCTGTGCAGGTTCATTTTTCATTTATACCAGTGCTAACTTTGAGCCTTATTGAAACCTCTGTCCCATAACTTCCCCATCAGGTGACATGGCCTGACAGGTGCCCTACCAGATATCCCTGAATGAGAGCTGAAAAATGTTGGGTTGACCCTAAGCTGTGCTGTATCAAAGATTCTCTGGCAACAGGGAAGAAAAGCTGATGCAGCTCCTTTGCCTGGAGAATCACAGAGAAAGACTAGACCTTGCCTAAGTGGTCCAGGCCAGCTCTCTGCCTCAGGAATCACCCACACCTGGGGTTCTAGGAGGGGTTAATTACCATATAATATGTATAGAAAACGCTGAGTTACTTTGAAAGATAATTTAAGTGTATTCATATTGATTCACTCGATATTTAATTCTTAAATTTCTTGTTCTGCCCTTCTCTCTAAACCACAAGGTGAGTTTTTTTTCCCTTAGGAATTTTACTTTGTAGTTAAAAATCAGAAACAACTTAAATATGCAACAGCAGAGAATGTTACTATTTTCTCTGTTCAATTTAGTCATATAAAATCATTGTAAGAGTAGCTTTGAAAATAGTATAGTAAATATTATTAATAATAGATCACTGAGTTCTTACTGTGTGCTTGACATTAAACTAAGAGCTACAAACAAAGTATTTTGTTTAATCCTAAGAACCCCAGGAAGTAGGTACTATTATTAGCCCTATTTTACAGAAAAGGTAACTAGGGCATAGAGAGGTTAAGCAACTTGCCCAGGGTCACTCAGTAAGTGATAGGGCCAGAAAGCACACTGAGGCTGTCTTGCTCTGGTGCTTCCCTTAACAGCTATGCTATCATGGGGAAATGCTTGTGATACAATGTTAAGAAGAAAAGAGAAAACAAACATTATAGCTGTGACCCTATGTAACAGAATATTGACTGAAAATTTCCCTGTTGCTCCAGAATCGCTAAGGCTCAGGGCCCTAAAGAGAGCTGTCAAAGCCACCCATGATCTATGGGGCCATAGGACATAATGAGGGGCCACAGATCAGCAGGGGTCAGAGAGGGCCTTGTTAGAGCTGATGAGTAGCCAAAACTTTCTCCTATAGAGAGTAGAGATGCTGTAAAGGGCCCCATCTGATTCTTCTTTGTATACTCAGCACCTAGCACAGTGTCATATACACAGAAGTGGCTCAAGAATTGTTTATTGAGCTTAACAGTCTTATGATACGGCAGACACCATATGCTAGATTTGCATTCACAACATGTTTACTCCCCAAAGGCAGGGCTGTCACCCATACTTGAAAGAAGAATAAACTGAGCCTGTGAGAGGTTAAGGGACTCACCCACAATCTGTCCAAGTTCAGAGCTCAGGCATTTCTCTAGACTCCAGAGACCATTAATGTGCCCACTGTGCACTGCACATGGTAGGAGATTGATGAACACATACTGAAGGAAGCGACACGTAGACACCAAACTTAACCCTCCTGCTAGGGCAGAATTTAAGAAAGAAAAGCTTTAGGAGTAAGAAGAAAAAAGAAGGCATAATAATGTAATAGATGTGGCTCAGCAAAATAACTTAATCTCCCAGATTCCAATAAAACATGGTAACTTTCCCCTTTCTGGTTTAGTTGAAACAGCAGTGCTGACATGGACTATTTCTGATCCTGCTATTTCTAAGCCTGGCTTCCTATCAAATGTGCCTCGATGCAAGATTTGGCATCGTCTGCAGATAACTGTAGGATTATGGGGACCACTACTAACAAAGTCTGCTTAGCAAAGAACACTGAGTGACAACTCCCAGAAAGCTGCCCTACCAGATATCCCCGAATGAGAGCTGAAAAATGCTGGGTTGACCCTAAGCTGTGGTCTATCAAAGATTCTCTGGCAACAGGGAAGAAAAGCTGATGCAGCTCCTTTGCCTGGAGAATCACAGAGAAAAACTAGAAGACCTTGCCTAAGTGTCCAGGCCAGCTCTCTGCCTCAGGAATCACCCACACCCGGGTTAGGAGGGGTTAATTACCATATAATATGTATAGAAAATGCTGTTTCTATATATACAAAGAAATTTTTTATATTTAAAATTTTTTGTATTTATGTATAGAAAATGTTGTTTTATGTTATACATAATATGTATAGAAATGTCCCCAGAAAGGGAAATGCAAATGGCTAAGAAACATGAAATACTATATATTCAACCTTAGTTTTCACAGATGTGCAAGTTGAGACAATAGCTTACCATTTTTTTAACCTATTGATTTGGTGAGAATTTAAAAGACTCGTAATCCTTGTTGCTGGTGAAGGAGTGCCTCACACTGATGACAGCAATGTCAAGCGATAGAACCTTTCCAGGAAATCTTAATAGTATGTGTACTCTTTGACTTACTATTTCCACTTTTCAGAATATATCCAAGGGAAATAACCAGATGTAAATAAAAATTTATGTAAACAATGTTCATTAGAGTGTTATTGATAACAGCAAAAATTTTTAAATTCTAAACCAATAACAATAAGGGATAGGTAAAGTTGTTGGAGCACTAAACATCTTTAAGAAATTACATTAATGTCTTACAATATAAAATTGTGAAAAAATAGGTTGCCAGTACATACCTCTTAGAACAGCCAAAATCTGACACTGACAACACCAAATGCTGTCGAGGATATGGAGAAACAGGACCTGTCATTCATTGCTGTTGGGATAGTAAAATGGCCAGACACTTTGGAAGACAGTTTAGTGGTTTCTTGTAATACTAAATGTACTCTTACCATATGACCCAGAAATTGTGCTTCTTGGTATTTACCCAAAAGAGCTAAAACTTATATCCACACGAAAACCTGCCCATGGTTGTTTACAGCAGCTTTATTCATACTTGTCAAAACTTAGAAACAGCCAAGATGTCCTTGTGTAGGTGAGTGGATAAATAAATCATGGCACACCCAGACAGAATGTTATCCAGAACTAAAAAGAAATGAGTTCTCAAGACCTGAAAGAATCTTAAAGGTGTATTACTCAGTGAAAGAAGCCAATCTGAGAGGCCTATGTACTGTACGATTCCAGCTATGTCACATTCTGAAAAAGGCAAAATTACGGAGACAGTAAAAAGATCAGTAGTTGCCAGGGCTTGCAAGAGGAAGGAAGGGGATGAGTAGGTGGGCACAGAAGATATTTAGGGCCATGGAAATACTCTGAATGATATTGTGATGACGGATACATGTCATTATACATTTCTCTAAACCCACAGAATGTTCAATACCAAAAGTGAACCATAAAGTAAACTATGGACCTTGAGTGATATGATGTGTCAATGTAGGTTCATTACCTGTAACAAATGTACCACTCTAGCAGGGGGTATTAATAATGGAGAGACAGGGGGTACATGGAAAATCTCTGTACTTCCCTCTCAATTTTGCTGTGAACTTAAAACTGCTCTATAAAAATTGTCTTATGAAAGGAAATAAGTTACATTACTATTTATACCGTGATCCCAAATATGTAAAACAATATATGAATATATGTATAAAATGAAAGGCCAAAAGGAAATACATCAAAACATTAACAATCTTTGTCTCTGAATAATTATATTATTGGCATTTAATTTTTTTTCTCTTTTGCACTTTTTTGCATTTGCCAATTTTTTTTTTTACAGTGAGCACATATGACTTCAATAGTCAGGAATAACCAACAGTGGAATTCATGTGGATTTGAAGATATATCTGCCAGCCACATCCTTGATCTGCCTCCGTGGTATCTCTTTTTAAGATGATGAAGGAGAGAAAGTCCTAAGCCGCAAACACATTAATTGCAAAGTGCCTTCCCCAAACAATGAAGCTCAACGTTGAAGTCTTGCTTCAAAGTCCTTCTGATGCTAAAAATAAGCTCAGGAAAGCATTCTATGCAGTTCTTGAAGATCTACTGAAGGACGTCATCACAGTGGGCACCAATTCAAATCCTCGCTCGTCATCAGTGTTGGCTGTAGAGCAAAGAATTTGAACCATTTGGGGGAGGAATGGGGCCAGAGCTTCACAAATAACTCCTTCCCTTAGGTTGCTATAATTGTAATAAAGGGGATTACTGACAGGTGCAGAACACACAGAGCTTTCCAGTCTTTATCTCACTTGAGCCTGGTGGGATGATGGTGGTAGTAGTCATAGTGATAACAATAATAGTAACTGATATTTACTAAGAACTAATTATATGTCAGGCATTGATGCTAAACACTTCATGTACATTATCCCTTTACACCCTATACTGAGAGGTAGAGGTGCTCCTCTTTATAGCTCAGTCTATGTCTCTTAAAGAAGTCAAATGACTTGGCCAAGGTCACCAAGCTAATACTTGGAAGAACTAGGATTCATAGCTGTATATTTAGTCCTTAGGTCCAGAGTGATGTCCACTACTGCTTATTGAACTTCCTCAACTTTACTTCTTATTGTCAGTAGGGGAGACATTAGTGTAATAGTAAACAGTGTTGGGCTCAGTCCTAGTTTTTCTAGCTGTATACCCTTGGACAAGTCACTTTAGCTCTCCATCGCAACTTCCTCCTCTGTAGAATGAGGATCGTAAGATCTGTCTCACAGGGCTCAAGGTCAAACAAAACAATGTACATGAAGTGTTGAGCCAAAGCCTGTCCCACAGTAAGCACTCAAAAGACACTAGAACATACCTGATTTTCCTATACTTTGTCCTTTCACACAGTGGGTCAAGCCTATGTCCTTGTACAATGTCTTTGGGTTTTAATGCCCAGAACTTCTAGACCCTCAAAGGAGTCAGACTCCCTGACCTGCTTAATGACCCTGGTCCCCTTGTAGGGTCCCCTTCATTGGAATGTATGTCCGGCATCTGGGGCTGGGAGAGTGGCAGGAGTGGACACTTGAGTGCTCAGATGCCCCTGAGAAATCTAGGCTTTAGGACTAAGATGTTCTCTGTTGAACTGTTTTGAGGAAGTCATGTCAATTTCATGCTGGCTTCTGAAGGCTGGATGATTAGGAAACCCGTCTTGGAGGAGCAATCGTTTTCCTGAAAAAGCCACAGAAAGAGTGACTATCAGAGCTGGAAGGGGACTTAGGGATGAGCCAGCCCAAACCTGTCCTTGTACAAATGATAAACCAAGATCCAGAGAAGGAACGGGCCTCCACAAGGTCCCTCACTGCACATTTGTAACAGAGCTGGGGTCAGATCCAAGCCCTCTGACTCTTGGGCCACCATCATACCCAAATCATTCCTTAAAGAGAGGGAAGCTGAGAGCCAGTAAGGGTTCTAGAGTCTGCTAGCTGGAAACCCCAAGGCCTTCCCACACACAGCACTGCCCTTCTGACTTGTGGGCCAGGGCTCTTTATGTCACTAGGGTCTTTCTATTTTCAGGAACTTTCCTCCTGGAGTCACAGCAATGGTGTCCTGCCACCAGCTATTTATCGATGGCCAAGGCAGTATTTTAAATGACAACAATCAGGGTCTGCTCTCAGGCAGCAGTCGCGACCTCAGCAATGGCAAAATCTTCCAAATTAGGCCACATTAGTGTAAGGGAACTAGAAACAACATCTTTCCCATTCCATCAGGCCTAAATTAGAACAGCTCTGAAGAGGGTCCTGGGAGATCAAGCCTGCTCTCAGGCCTGTGGGCCTAATTTTCTTTCTCAAACCATCATTGAACTTTCCCTGTGATTGCTGGGTGTTTATTGGGTGTGTATAATGCCTCAAGTGCAGCCCAGAATTTGGAATGGGGTGTAATCCTTAGTTACATACAGGCAGAATTGCTTCTTTAGAGATGGGAACATTGGAATCGCTGCCGTCCAGTCCCATGTAGGAGAATTAGCCTATGAATCATCCAAGCTGGGTTCCCCATGCAGTCTATCTCCCTTCAAGGTGAAATAGTCTAGCGGGGAAAGTCCATGATCTAGTGGGCCTGGCTGTACTAGTTCCAGCCTCTGTTACCTAAAGCAAGAATCAACCTCTCTATGCTTCAGTTTTGCCATCTGTAAAGTGAGCATATAAAGCCTGGTCTACTCATGATGTTGCTAGGAGGGTTCATTCATTCATTCAACAGAAGTGCACTAAACACTGACCTAGAGATAACCTAGTGCACAAGAAACAACAAAAACAAAACAAAACAAAATGGTACCCTGCCATCCTGGTGCCTATAAATGAGCAAGTGAGATAACCAATTAACAAATAAACAGGTAAATAAGCAAGATATTTACAGATTTGATAAGTGTTACGAAGGTGATGAACAGAGTGCGGTAGAACTGGGAGTCATCCCCTTGGGGTGCTCAGGGAAAGCCTCTCTGAGGATGTAACATTCAGCCTGGAATCAAAGGAGCTGGCGCTGCAAAACCCAGAAGGAAGAGCAAGTGTAAGCAGGTGGGGAGGGAGCCGGAAGGAGGTGTTGGAAGCGAGGGAGAGAGTGGCACGGGATGAGGCAGGAACTAGACCTGCAGAGCTCTGTAGCCCTGTAAGTAGACTGGGTTTTCTTCTAATAGCAAGGGGAAGCCAAGGGAGAGCTTGGAGGGGGATGAAGGTGGGTCACAGGGTGCCAAGGGCAGGAGCATGGAAACCAGAAAGAAGGCCGTTGTCAGGATGGGAGAAGATGGTGGCCTGGACCAGCCTGCAGGCTGATTCAGGATTGATTTTTAGATGTGGAATTGTCAAGACTTGCTGTGAGGTTGGATGTGGGGTGAGGGATTGAAAGAAATCAATAACAATTCCTAGATTGAGGAATCAATGGGATCGCTCATTCATTCAACAAACATCATGTAAACACATGTATCTGCCTGCCTCTATGCTTGGTGTTGCAGATAAAGATGGGGATGAAGATCACAGCTTATTCAGGGAGATAGACCAGAAAGTAGGCACATTTACACATTTAAATAAATACAATAAATGTTAGAGAACATCTAACTCTGCTGGGAGAAAAGGATCACAGAAATATTCCTGGGGGGTGGGGTGGGAATTTGAACTGACTCTTGAAGGAGGAGCAGGAATTAGGAGGAGAAGGGCTTTGGGGTGAGTGGACAAAGTTCTAATATAATAATAACAACAACAACAGTAATAGTGGTGGTAGCTGATATTCGTGCAGCCCTAACAATGTGCTAGGTATTGCTTTCAGCACAAATTCCCTCATTGAATCCTCACATAAGAGCTCTGGGAGGCAGAGAGTATCATTATGATCTCTGCGTTATGGATGAGGAAGCTGAGATGCAGTTAACCTCTGTTACAGAATTTTCCAGGGCCACACAGTCTCAGCCGGGCATTGGTCTCATGAAGTTTGGCTTTAGAGGCCATGCACTGACCACCACCCCAAACTGCCTCCCCATGGGAGAGGGGTTGACAAGCACACTAAGTATAGGGTGTATGGAGGTAGAAGCTGATGGAAGGTGAGATAAAAGGCATGAATGTATTTCGCAAGCTATAAAGTACTGCCTCAAGCTGATTATCATCACTGTTATTAAATGTCTGCCTTCCCTCCCCTCTGTGAGAAACAGGTTTCTCAGCAGGTGCTGTGGTCACTGGCCTTGGAGGACAGAGGCTGCCTGGGGGGCTGGTGCCCAAGCAGAAGGACTCTCAGGAGAGGGTGGGTTAACGTGAGTCCCTCCGAGCTGGGAAGCAGCAAGAGCGGGTCGCAGTCCTCGTTCTGCCCCCAGCCTCCTCCTGCAGCCTGGTCTTCTCCACGGGAAGCTGGTAGGAGGGACGACTGGAATTCTAAGGCCTTTCCAGCCTTCACATTTTGGACAATTGCTGCTACTATTGGTGCTCTGCTTCTCAACTGGACAAAAAAAGGAATGCCTGCTTGGGGCCCTTTACCTAAGCAGACTGTCACTGTGGATGGGAGGTGCACCTCCTAGAAAGTAGGACCTACAGTGAATGGGAAGCCGAGAGCTTATGGCTCTTGAGTCCACAGATCCCCACGTCAAACATCTCTCATTCCTTCTGTCCCTGGCAGGACACAGGTATCCTGTCCCCTTAAATCCACCCACTCCTGTCCCTTTTAAAGCTTCATGGGGAGCTTGAGCAGCACAGACAGCATTTTAGATGCTATACTTCTAAGGATGCAGTCAGAAGATGCAGGAGCTATTTATATCCTCTGGGGTCCTGTTTGAGTTTTCTGCAAATCAAAACTCTTGGGGCTTTCTCACCTGTGCTGCTGCAGGCTCCGTCTTCTGCCATTGGCTTGGGGTCCACTGCCCTAGAATAAAATGTGTTCACTGGAGATGCAGCTTTGAATTTTTCTCAGTCTTGAGATCTCCAAAGTGAGAAGACACTCACAGGCCTGCAAGAGACCCTTTCCATCCAAGCAACAACAATCCAGACCCTTCTTGCTGACACAGAGCTTTGTAAACTGTAAAGCACTTTCATACATCATTAAATCACATGTTATTCATTTTGCACCCCATAAAATTTTTAACTACTTTGGACAGGGGTAGGATTGCCAGATAAAATGCAAGATGCCAGTAAAATTTGTATTTCAGATAAACAATGAATACTTTTAGTATAAGGATGCCCCAAATATTGCACAAGACATACTTATACTAAAACATTATTCATTATTCACCCAAAATTCAAATTTAACTAAGCATCCTTTTATTTTCAACTCTCAACTGAGATCATAGCCCTATTTTGCAGAACTGGGGCTCAGAGAGGGGAAAGGGTTTATCCAAACTCCTTCAGAGCAGGGCTGTGTCTGCTTCATTTTATATACTTCAGTATTTTTCTATTTTCTGAACATGAAAAGTATATTTCCTGAAGCCAGTACATCAGTCCTTTTACGGGTGACCTAAAAGATTAATGCCCCCCATGAAAAGCCTATTCCTTTGAGAACCTGTGCCAGGGTTCATATAGGTATATATATTGCATAGAGCGTTAAAAAGTTAAGGCTTCAGTTTTAATCTCCAGTTCCCAACCTGGAGTTAGCTCAAAGGTGCTTGGGAAATGCTTACTCAACTCTTGGGCTTCTGAGCCTCTCCTTTCTGCAGGAACCCTAGAGTGAAAGAGAGCTAGCCCAGGGCAGAGAATGGCCCCAGGAACTCCGTGTTAGGCTTCCCTGTTCTTCCTGTGAGGTTAAGTTTAAGATGAGTTCAGAGGAGTTTCAGGAAAGGAGAGTGAAACTACAGAGCATCCTGAAAAGCTGGGCATCACGACAAGGCTCCCTTTCATGACACTGCCTCCGGAACAGAAGGAGGACTGCCCCGGGGCTGCCACACCACGGTGGCCTCGGCATAAATGCTCTCTAAGGAGTCTCTACACTATCAGAGACAGCGGCTCGGAGCCGTCACCTGCCCGCTGGGTGAACAGACCAGTGAGGGGCGCTGGTGGGACAGCCTTGGTGACTGCACTGGATCCAGCTCCTCTCTCTCTCCTGATGGATGTCCCGGGCTCTGTCCCCGGGCAGATCACATACTGATGTCATCTGTCCACCTGGAGCTATGAATAAACACAGACTCTCTGCGGAGACTTGAGCTGCTGATGACAGCAGTCAGGGGTCTTGGTTCCTTGCCGGCTTGTCAGCTAAGAAGAATGACCTGCTGAGGAGCTGGAGCCCAGGCGAGCACTATTCTTCATGAACGAGCTCACTGGTAGAATCCTGGGTTAGAAGATGGGGCGTTGAAAAGCAACTGGGTCTAATCTGAACATTGTCGTTTTTCCAGAAACACCAAAGCTCATAGAAGGAAAGGAGCTAGTCGAGCTCACACAGAAATTGGCAGCAGAACCAGGCCTGGAACTCGTATTTCTGCTAGGTGCTGCATTCCCAATTCATAGGATCGGCTGTCAGTGCAAAGCAAACAGCAGGTGAGGCAGGTGTGGTCGCTAACTGGTGTCCTGGCACTGTGGGTCACCGAGCTTTAGCCTGGCACCCAATTAGCATCTTAACCCCATCTGTCACTCTCTCCACCCTGAAGACTCCAAAATGCACAGAAATAAACTGCTCTCAGCAAGCTCCTGAAACTGGAGATGAAATGGCCCACAGAGATCACCTGCTCCAGTTCCATCTGCCAGGCGGAGTCCCCAGCACCTGGGCTGGGAAGCAGTTCCACGAACCAGTGAGCCCGACAAGCTTGCAGGTTGGCAGGCAGACCCTGTGTAGGCAGAGGTGGTGAGTGGGCCGTGGAGGAAAGTACAAGGGGTAGAGCAAGCCCAGGTAAGCGGTAGTGTTAACCTGCTGTCTCCCGTCAGCTTTGTTCAAAAGTTCCTTTTATATTGAACTAGAGTCTGTCTCTGTGAGCTTCTGCCCACTGAGTCCAGTCTGCTCTTTCTGCCAACTCAGGTAGGAGGTAGCCCGGGTCACACCATCAGTGACACCACTGAGTTAGACAGGAACCCCGTCTGCATGCAGCCCAGTCAGGGCCTTCGCCCCTGCAAATCCCACTTAGGAGAAAAGTGATCAAAGCAAATGATGAAGATGCAGGCAGCTCTGCCTGGCACCTCGGGTGGTTTCCCCTGTATGCGCCAGTACTGTCCTTGGCTCTTGGGCAGAGAGAGGGCATCGCCCTCACAGAGCCTACTTTCTGGTTAGGGAGTTGGACAGTATCTGGATAAATAAATGAGATCATGTCAGGAAATGACAGTGTTAAGAAGGAAACACAGGCTGAGAATGGGACAGAAAGTGATGCAGAGGCAGCGTGACCTCCTGAGGCGCCCTGGGAGCTGAGGCCTGAGTGAGGACAGGGAGGCCAGCATGGGAGAGCCAAGGAAAGGGCATGGCACGTGCAAAGCTGGCCCTTGGGTTTGAGGAACAGAAAAGCCAGGATGGGTAGAACCCAGTGAGTGAAGGGAAGGGGGAAGGACGCCAGATCTGAGAGGAGGGCATGGGGTGCGCCACAGCCTGCTGCACTGTGCTCGGTGGAAGATTACTCCGTGGTGGCAATTGCGCTTCCAGAGGAGCAGAGTCACAGCAAAGCAGAAATCACAGCCTCACGGTGATGACACCTGGGAAGGCCAGGTGCCCACACACAGGTGGCTGGGACAGGGGCATGGGGGCGGCTCCCCTGGAACCTGCTGGGTTCTCAAATCCAACAGGAACCCTCCATGCCGGGCATCTGTCTATGCAAACATCCTGGAGAGGGCTTGTCTGTGGGAGGCCCTAGTGGGGGAGCCCCCCAAGTCAGAGGAAACTAGAAAGGGAAGCCTATATTTGAAGAGCATTTGTGCGAGGCTAGACTCTGAGCTTTCCGTCCTCCAAGGGGCTCCTACCCTTGCTTTCAGTGCCTTCCTGGGCTCTTCCCGCTCTTCCCCCATCAGGCCTGTCCCAAGAGCCAGTGATAATATCGTCTGCCCTGGGGTATAAGTGGCCCAGTGCCCTCTCCTGGGAGCCCTGTCTTTTATCAGGAGTCAAAGTCCTGAGTCAAAGGGATGCACCTTAAATTGTGCCATTTCAGTAATCTGCCAGCCGGTGGGCACAGGCGGGAGTCCACAGGTTGGTGGAAGGCCCAGCCTGGAGCCTGGTCTTCTACCTCCGGGGTTGGTGCAGGGCTCCCTCCACCAGGCTATGTTGCCTATGTTCACCAGGTTGCCTATGTTGCATACTTATTTCCACCCACAACAGCCACTTGACTCTGTGGCTCTAGAATTCATGAGAGATTCTAGAGAGCGCTCAGCTCTGTACTAACTTCCAGTCTGCAATTCCTGTGGAGGTGGCTGAGGAGGGGTGGAGCAGCCTGAGTAAGCCAACAGTCAAAGGACCGGGATATCAGTTGAGGATGTTCTCATGGAAAAGTCCAGCCCCTTCCAGAAAATTCTGTGGGGCTCAGAAAATTGTCTTCACCTTGGCTCTGCTGCTGTATTTTTTTCTCATTGCAGACCAAGAGAGACATGGGCAATTTCTGTGAGCTGGTTTTATCTTTCTTCAGGAATGATCTAACCTTCAGTAACAAGGCCAAGAAAACCTATTCCTACACTCTGGTCCCTCAGTCTGCTCCCAGGAATTTGTCCTAAGGCAATACTTCCCACAATCGTGGTGAAAGCTTGTTTTAATAAAGGTTGATAGCATTATATACAATGGCAGAAAGGTGGAGCTACTTAGGTGCCAAAAAGACAGGCGGGTGAACACCCTCTGTCCCATCTACTTGAAGGGATAGTATGACAAGCTTGAAAATGACAAATATAAATCTCGTTGAGACATGTAAACGGATACATGAAAGAATGTCCAGGGATACTATTAGAAACCCAAACTGCACAAGTCCATCAGTGTCTTCCCTGGAGGCCTGTAGATGAAAACTGGAAGAGTTCAAGAAAGATCTAAAGACAATTTAAGTAAGGCCCATCTCCCTCCATCCTCCATCTTTTTTGTGGGTATTTGTGTGCTTAGATATATAAATTTAAAAATCCTTGTGAAAATGCTAACTTTTAAATATTGCTTAATACAAAATCATTATTCACTTTCTTCAAAAAGTAATGCATGATTTTAATAACTGCTAATTGCTCAATCCTGTGTTAGGTGGTTGGGACAGAAAAACGATCGGTTGTTACCTGGGATTCAGAAAAGCCTTGACCAGGCCTCGCCCTTGTCAGGTTACTCCAGGAGCGGGGATCCAGAGGAGGAACACGCTCACCCCAGAAGAAGGGAGGGTACGTTCTTGGACAGCCCTGTCCTGGGCCAGGGGGAACCACCCATCCGGCCAAAGTGGCCTGTCCATCTGGAAAATTGCTCTAACCCTCCAACTAGTAACATTAACTGTTATCAGTCAGAGTTCTTAGCTGTAAACAATAAGAATCTATGGTTAGTTTAATAACAATTATTATTGTTTACATCATTAGTGTCACTGTTGCATGTGCGAGGCTCTGTGTGAGGCTTGGTGGTAAGGGGCTTATAAGCATTATCTTTTTATTAATCCATAACTGGTAAAAAAGACAATTACTCCTGGGCCAAAATAAAGTAATTGAGGTTTAGAAAGGTTGAGAAACTTGCCCCAAAGCCACAGATTTAGCAAGTGGTGGAAATTGTTTTCAAAACTAGAGCCTACTGCAAAGCAAGCGGTCTCAACCACGATGCCCTGCCATCTCCACAGAGAAGCTCCTTCTTGATCAAATACAAATTGATCAAGAATCCAAAAAGCTGGCAGCGGGGCCTCCATCCTCCATTGATCTCTTTTGGCATTTGTGTTTCAGGTCAATTTCCAGAGAGCTGGCTAGAGTTGGCTCTTCACATTGACCCCAGCAGACCCATGAAGCCAGCTTTCCCAGAAGCTCAGA